TATTTAACTTAAGAAGTGACTTGCATTTAGTCTGAAGACAAGCTTAGAGGACTTATGCCTTGGTGTATGTAGTGACTTATAGTCAGTTTTTGAAAAAGCCGGTTGCATCATAGACAAGTATAGCTTTCATGCTAACAAAATGGTCATTCCCTATTGATTTTTATGCTTTAACTTTTTTTCCCCCAACTATCAGCTTTCTATTTATCTTTCAATGACAACAAGCATCTTGTGTATGTCCTGGCATTCTACTGTAGGCTAGGCTCTATGCTCTACGAAAGCCCGAGTATACGCGGCCACACTGCTATCCAGTCAACTAGAAGAGTGTAAAACATACGTGATGATAGTAGTTAGTTGTTCCATTACCAATTAGTGATTGATAATTATTTGCTTAATCTTGATGATTATGCAGTTCACAACGTACATGGAAATCAGGGAGAGATTCAGCAATCATCTTTGGATTGATGTTGTTTCCAAATGTGATATTTTGCCCGAGTCCCCTTCCTCCTTCATAACTGAAGACTTGGCTGCTGATAATTCGGATTTGGCAAGATATAGGTTATTTGGGCCTGAAGGAGCCATTCGTGTATCTGTAAAGAGTGGACTTGGTCTCGATGAGGTATATACAACTATGTCCATGCTTAGGCTCTATATACACAGTCAGGATCGAATACCAAGTCTGGTGGAAAATATAGAGGGACAATATGTTAAACCTTGCTCATTCCAGCTTTATCATTCTTTAGGCTCCTGTCATTTCCTATGCTACTTTTTCTATAATTCTTGTTGCATCTGATTGACAGATTCTTAGAGGCATCTCATTTACTTTTTTACTTGCAGCTGAAGCAGAAGGTTCACAATATGCTCATCTCCCAATCAGCTAGGATCAAAAGCGAGATGATAGACCCAGAACGTGCTGCAACTCCTTCATGAAAATTGTTCTATTTCATAGTGCCCTCTGCAGCATGTCTTAATATGATCCTGGTGTAGATTGAAGACGCCAAGGTCACATAGTGCCCTCTGCAGAAATTGCTGCTCGGATCATCGTTTGTAATCAAACTGTTATAATGGAAGAAAATCAGTTGTTTCGCCTGTTTGGCACAAAAAAAAGCTCCTCTTTTTGGAATTTATCTTATGTGGAGGATGATCCCTTTCAACACTTCCCCTCCCTCTCCCCGTAGTTTTTTTGTCTTTCTTTCTTTTCTATCGGCCTTTGGAGGAAAAGGGGATTTTGCTTGCAATTTTTCTATAGTGAAAAATTGAAAGGGTTGGTGAAAAAGTTGTCATTACTTATAAGGTGTAACATTGTACAGAATCATGAATGTAGTTCTATGGGTAAATGAATATTTTTTTCATAATAATACTGCATTTTTGTAGTGAATGATCCAGTTGTAAGAAAAACTAACCTAACTTGTGTTGGGTTGCATAAGCAAAAAGGTAAGGGTGTAAGACTAGTCCAAATCTCATGCTTTGTGGAGCTAGTTGTGGGGAATGAGGTAGAACGCACACAAATGGGGCTTGCTTAGTCAATGATGGCTTGGGACTATTTCGGACAAGCGCGACCAATTAGTAGTGTTTATTTTAACAGAGTTAAGAAGCGATATACTTCTTTATTGGTATCAATTAAAACTCATATTTTGTCAGTACTCATCGACTTTTGTATTATATTTAACTTCTAAAATGAACGCAAGTCATTGTGGATAGAGACTTTTCTCCTCGAGTTAAATTATGTAAATATTAATGTATATTTAATTTTGAAAGCTTACAAATACGGAGTACTTCTTGATCTACTCTGTAATATTTTTTTTCACCTAAATTTCCAAAATACCCATTACTTTACCCAAATTTACAAAAAATACCAAATAAATGAAAAACAAGCAAAAACCAAAATCAAAAGCCTAAGACATACGTTTACTGTCTTCTCTGCAAACGACTTGCAGAAAAACAAAATCACAAAAACCCTTGAAAAAAATTCTCACTTTTTCTCTCCAACTTCATCATGGTGTACGTAACTTCGTGGGATGAATTCGTCGAGCGATCCGTCCAATTATTTCGCGCCGATCCTGAATCTGTAAGTCTTGTACACCATCATTCAAACTTAATCTTTTTTTTTCCCTCAAATTTTAGTTGTTGGAATTTTGTAAGAAATTGGGTTTGATTATGCTTCTCGTTTCAATGTAGACTCGTTATTCGATGAAATATCGACATTGTGATGGAAAATTGGTTCTCAAAGTTACTGATAATAAGGAGGTATTGCTCGATTTCTTCATGCTTTTTTTTTTGGGGGGGGGGGGAATTTGATGTGTTTTTCTGTGTTGGATTTCGAATTACACCCTTTTAGATTGATACTGAACTTGCTAGAATGGCAGTGTTCTGAATTTTCCGTGGTTTTTGTTAAATATTTGATGATCATGCTCCAATACCCATCTGGATTTGAAGCTTAAAATGTGCCAATAGAGTGTAGATTAGGGCAACTGATGAAACTTAGAGGCTGCTTGGTTGAGCTTCTTGGAATGGGTTAGAATGGATTCAGAATACATTCCATGGTTTTGTTTGTTTGGTTGGGCTATTTAAGTATGGAATCTCATACCGGGGGGATTCTAACTCCACCCCATTCTCTTGGAATCTCATACCCACCTCCCCTCCAAGGATTCATAATCCATACTACCACTCAAGTATGAGAATCCATACCACCCAAGTTTGAGAATCCATACCAATCCATTCCAACTTAGTGAACCAAACGACCCCTTAGGGTTTTTATTGTTAACATTGTCCCAATTTGGCTGTGTGAATGATAGAAGTGATGTCTTTAGAAAATGTTGTGGGTGGAAGAAATTTTCGATATGAAGCTTGTTTGAAAACTAGCAGATAATGGTTTTATGTTAGTAGAATTGATCAGCTGATTGCAGATGGTAGATTCTGTAAAAGTGTTTGGTGATTTAGTAATTTCTATAATGTAGTGGTGAGGTATTTTGGATTTGTTAAGTGAATTATAAGGTCATAACTGCATTTTGCGCTAATTAGTGGCATTAGATATATGGATTATTAGATTCTATATTGCATTATGCTATGAAGTAATTTGTATTAAATAGCACATTGAAGTAGAGTAACTCAATTCTGCCTAATGAGAACATCACCGTGAAGGGTTATTGTATTGAGATCAAGCTATTAGTATATTGAGGATTTGTTTTGGGGTTATGTTGTAGTATTTGTTGGATTATATCAAATCTTGTCAAGGCTAATTACTTAAGGTATGTTTTTTGAAGGGTGCAATTATAAGATATATTAAAGTGAGTGATAAACTGGACATGTTTAAATTTTATAATTGATACTCTTTTGTCTGTAGAGAGTCTGACCTATTTAGCAGAATAGCTTCTTTTTTTGCAGTGCATGGCTTGAGCAATAAGGGGTTGCTATGCTCCAGAAGTTGACAAATGTTGCTGAATTTGATCTTTAATTATGATGATTTACTTTATATATGAAATGTGATAGAAAATGTGGCTGTCTGTTGTTACCAGCCTTAATTGATTACTATCATTTTTAAAACTGCCTGGTTTAGGGGCTATTATCACTGAAGTGATCAGGAATATGCTGGCTATGGTATTATTTCTGTCATTTCTTTCTACTGTGGCCCATGGAGCTTAATTGCTGTTATAATTAAAGTGGTAAGAAACGTTAGTAGGAATAGTAGCTACACTTTTAGCATCGTATGTATGCATGCGCTCACATGATCTCCTGGTAATTTAGTTGGTCTTTTATGCATATGGTGCGACACCAAAACTTGTAAAGGTTTTTTTGAAGTACACAGTGAAAAAAAGAGAAGGAAGGGGGGGGGGAGGGGGACCGAGGGGTGAGGTATTTTTCTGACTGTTTTTAGTTTCTGGATCCTTGTTTTGACTTGTGAATGTGAACCTCATTTTCTAATGTTTGTTCATTTATTATAACTGTTTTAGTTTATGGATCCTTGTTCTGAGTCTTGTCTTTGCTTTTGTGATCTCTTTACTAGTGCCTCAAGTTTAAGACTGACCAAGCACAGGATGCAAAGAAAATGGAGAAGCTTAACAATATTTTTTTTGCTTTGATGGCTCGAGGTCCTGAAGGTACTAGTCATTTTCTGTTCTATTTCTCAACTTCCAAGGGGCACCATCCCCTGAAGATAACTGTGTATCTCTGATTCTTGAAATTAATGATAGAGTATGTATCTCTGATTATATTATTGTACTTTGACTATAAATGTAGTATTGACCTCCCCTCTCCCCAAACACACACACACACACACTTCGCATGGGATATAATGTGTTGGATTGATTAACCAAGGGAGCAGTATTCAGTACACAGAAAAATGATTGTAGACCTAAGATGTTGCTACTTGCGACCGTTTATGATTTTCTAACAATTTAGAGTTGCTCTTTTATTGTCACATTTTGCTGATATTAAGTCCCACTTCTGTATTCTGCAGTCGATATAGCAGAAGTCACGGGGAAAGAACAAATGGAGGTTCAGCCATCAAAGAAAGGAAGGGGAAGAAAACAATGATTTGGAAGTTTTGATGTTTGGCTAGAAAATAGGAATTGTAGTTGATCACGGCACCTTACTCTTGCAGTACGAGAAATTTCTGCAGATATTTTTTCATTGCTTTACAGATTTTGTCATGATGTCAATATTATTTGAACCAAAGGCAATGGATAATAGTTTTTTTTCACAAAGAATGACTCCTGGCAAGGTGACTTCCTCCCTTGCAAGTTCATCTAAGATTGTTGTTAATATGGCTCGGAACGAGTCTATGACTTACAAGGAGCATTTACTTATTTTCTCTATATGAATACAGCCTATTTTTCACTTGCCCTGCAGTTGATTGATGGCATCAACTATGAAATTATGATACATAGAAAAATGCAAAATCATTTTTACTTTGAAGTTTGTAAATGGTCTGTGATGCTAAGTGACTATGACAGTCAAGATTACCCCTTTAAATTCTCAATTGCACATTTGCACACTAACTCATCTGAAGCCCTGAAGATTGCCTCTGATGGGTGGATTATAATAGAAAAATATCAAAATGCCAATTAACTTAAGCAAGCTACCATCAAGCACATAATTTTGCTCTACATCATAACTAAATAATTGAAATTTTAGTCTACAAATATGATCCCGTTTTCTTTTATGGTATCTAGGACAATACCAAGCTTGCCCTCTATTCGCTCATCTTTTCTAGGCTCATAAGCCAGTGCATATACATCGGCATCTTTTGATCGCTCAGCAATGAGCTTACCCACCACTCTACAGGCATTATTATCAATTAGAGATGGCAAGGTAGTTCTTAGATCCTTGGCATTAGTGGTGGCAACAGAAATCACTTTGCTGGTTCCACGGTGCATCACTTTGGCATGAATGAATCGCTTTGAGAAGTAAACATTCAGCAGAAAAGGTCTCAAGTACATATCAGTCCGTTGTTTCCATGATTTCCTCCCGGTTTTCTTTGGTTCTCCCCGAGATCTCCTGGTCCAGGCTGCTTGAACGACAAAGTCCTATATAAATAACTGAAATTCAGGTGGGAAAATGAAAAGGCAAACAAAACCTTTATTATAGGAAAGAGCAAATATTTCTTCAAACAACAAAAAATCTAAGGTCAACTGCTGCATATTTTAGAATGTAAGATTAAGGCCACTACAAGTGACATGGCTTTGGCTTTCGTTGAGAACAAACAAAAGATTAAATCAGTCCCAAGAAATTGCTGGAACAGGAAAGTATATGTCTCTCAGACAAAGTTGAGCTCAGTAACAATGATACACCTTGAGATTTGGCTGCAGAATCATACTAGAAAGATTGATGCAAACACAATTACACCATCTACTCCATGCCTAAACTTTCATCATAATCCAGCTAATTGTCTAACAATTAGTCAACTAACATGGTACTCAGATATGCGACATCAATAAAGCCTTAACCTAACTTCAACTACGGTTCACTCAATAAAAGTATGTACTCATTGTTGCCATAGCTAAAGACTTTTTCTTTCAATAAGCCAGAATTGTTTAAATTTCTGCTATTAGAGAATGCATCCCAAATCGATCATTCTGATTGGATATCATACAAGGCTGGTATCAAAGGAAGATATTAAACTCGCTGTTTCTCAAGCAGACAAGCACAACCATCTGACTGATGACTAGCATAAAAACCAATCAAAGTATATTGCATATGCATATGCTTGGAAGGATGAAGAAATGTGATCTCATTTTGAATATGTCCGACATGATGAATCCATTTAGACCAACAAGTAAAATTATAATGTAAACCACATTCTCAAGCATACTTCTACTCTGATCATAATATGAAAAGCCACATTAGATATTTACTGTTAATGCTTATTCCCATATCAAAAGCCATAGATGATAATCTCAGACATACTAACTAAACAAAATCTCAAAAAAAATCCACATCAATGTTAACTTTTAATACCAAATGTTTATTGTTGCCAATTATTTTGAAACAAGAGGAAAGGAACTAGGAAGCACTACATTAAAACAACACTACCACTAGAAAGTGAAGAGCACGACAAATGAATAAACCATATATATATAATGGAACTCAAGAAAAGGCTAAATATACTCCCTCCACCCGAATATAGTTGTAGAAATTTGCACTAATGCGGCTTGCCTTCTCATTCATTGCTCAACCAAATATATAGGTTACAAAAGTCCCTAAACCTAGAATAAAAGATAGTCTAGAATATTAGGGAAATAACTAAAATACAAGATATTTGCCAAAAATATATCCTAACAATATTCCAACCCGAGACTTCAACAGCACATACATACTAACATACTTAAAAGAAGAATTATGAAGCAAGAATAGTACCTGTTTCGGAAAGGAATTTGACAAATTAGGTCTGGAATTGAGTGAGAGATTCAATTGGGGCATAGAAGAAGACCAAGAAAGTGAAGTGGGTTTGTTCATTCGAGGTCGAAACAAGTCTGATGATATCAGAAATGCACAAGACGATATGCTACAAGCCATCCTCTTTCAGATTTATTTGTTTATTTATTCCTGTAACTTCAAAACATAACTTGCTTCGATTATTTCTATAAATTAAAACCCAATTGCAAAAATATAAACCCCAAATGAGTATTATCCAACATTATAATAACTTCAATTTCATAGCAATATAATTAATTAATTCAATGCAAGAAAGCAAAAATGGTATGAATTGCAGTATTTGTTGAAAACAGACACATTAATTTATATAAACATTGATATTCCTGTGATTTCAGCCCATAATTTGCTCGAATATACTTCTGAAAAAAAATTGCAAAAGTTAAAATTCCCAAATGAGCAGGAAATTGCCCAACTTTGTAACAAATTTCAAGTGCAGAGCAAGAAATTGCCACAAAATTCAATCAATAAAACGCAAAATTGGGAAAATACAATAGAATTGAAAGCAAGAAATTGCCACAAAATTCAGTGAATAAAACGCAAAATTGGGAACGAATTGCAGTATTTGTTGATGACAGAAACATTAAATCAGTAAAAAAAAATGTAAAGAAAGAAAAAGAATAACATCTATAAATAGGAGGGAGAAGAAGAACAAACCAGAATTGGCAAAAATTGCAAAAATTACTCAATTTGAGAGAAATGCCATTGCTAATGCTTCACTTTGATATGTTGAGCTTCCCTTCTGCAGATAAACAAAAACTAAAAAATAAAATGAAAAACCATAAAGCTTGATAAATGGGTTGGACTGTTGGGTTTGATTCATATCATTATTCGATTTGGCCCAATTCAATACTCCAATTTTTATACTTCTTCCGTTTTTCTTTTATTGTACCATAAGGACTTTTACACTATTTACATAATTTCTTTGACCTTCTTTTGTGATTTATTCGTAATGAAAAACATATTTATGTGGGAATCTCATTACATTCCGTCAAGAAATCTAGTTTTCAAAAATCAGTTTTGTATACTTTTTACAAAAGTATAATTAAAGATATTAATAGTCAAAGTAATGCATTGACAAACGTAAAATCACCCATGGTGCAATAAAACAAGAACGGAGGAAGTACTATTATTTTTCAATTGTATTTTTTAATTGTAAATTTGTAAGAAGAACTACTAAAAGACACTAGTACTACTAATAAGTTTTGATAAGGATTATCTAAATAAGCTTAGATTAGATTAGATAAGATAAGTTCATATAATTATACATTAGGCTAATATAACCCACCATTAGTCTTGCTTAATACTTTTGCATTGTGTCTTTGAAAATTTATACGAATCATACAATTGAAACGATTTTCATTCTTGCAATATCTTACATGTACTCTAACCCAAAAATATTTTAATTATAGCATTTTTTTAAAAATAAATATTTTCAAAAAATAAATATTCTCATAGCCTCCTCTCAAAGGGATGGTATAGACGTACAATTTTTTTTAATTTTTTTTTTCCTGTAAATTACATTTATGTTCATACATAATTTATTTTTATTCCGTAATTTAATATAAGAATTAATAAATACTTTGTATGTAGTAGTGGTTATGTGTTATGTCCTTTAATTGGATTTTCCCGTGAAGCAAATAATTTGTTACTTGTATTGTAAGGCTATTTTTACTTTTTTTAAAACATATCTTACCTTAACATTTTAATTATCTACTAATATACATTATTTAGAATCTCACATAGACAACGTTTCACTTTAACTATTTACTATTGGCTCTTCTTTTACAAAGAAAACGACTACAAGATCAAATCTTCATGAGTCATTACATCTTTCTAGAAAAGAAAATAATGGCCCTAGGAATTTTATTGTTAAACAAGTTAATACATCAACTTTATATTAGTGACACTACTCAATGTACTCATTACCTTTTATGAACCTTGTTTTTAATGAAAAAGCAGTTATGTAATTGTGTGACAAGCTGACTAGAAAGTCTCTAATAGAAACCCCACATATGTCAAGAATAGCAGTAGAATTTTTTATTTTTTTTGCAAAAAGAGTAATATCATAAAAATTTTAAATCAATACTTTACCCGTCTCCTATTATTTGTGTAAGTTTTGATTTTAAAAATTTGTTTATTTGAAATTGTCTCGTATCATAAATAATGACTGTAACGGTAAAGATTATTACTTTACTCTCACATCATTATATCTACTTTTGTCAATTATTTAATAATCCATCTATCAACTCCACTTAAACTATCCTGCCCAAAAAAAAAAAAAAAAGAAACTCCATTTAACTAAAGTAATAAAATTTAAATTCGTGGAGTGAATAAAACAAAGTAGAAGAAGTATAAAATTTAGAGACGTACATGCCCCATGTATATATATTCTCTTTTCAAGTTTGACTAAGTAGTGTGTTGCTGTATGTGTAAATCAAATCATAATGACTCTTAATGTTCTAGAACACTTTACCAGCAAGTCCAATTCTAATGTCATATGTCAAGCAATGATAAGATTTACTACCAACTACTGGTAATCTTGTTTCTTGTACCATGTACTTCCTGGTGGGCTGCGCTATAATATGGTCTGATTCATACTCCATAATAAGCATATTTTAAAAAAAAAATTAACACCAGATAATTCTTCTAGAGTCCAAATTACTACGTACTTCTCCTAAGCTACCCATTCATCTTGCTTGCTTGGCTCACTCATCATTTTATGTAATCGGTTCGTTATATGAAGTACTTGTAGTACGGAGTATATGTTTACTAGAATGTCCATAGTTCCTTGATTTTGATTGAATGTAACATAATAATTAAAATTTACGTAAAAATTTACAATATTCATAAAATTGAATTAAACAAGCAATTTTTTCAATGATTAAACCAATGTTATATACGTAGTATTTACCCTTTTTTTTTTTAAGGAAAAAACCAATGTCATATGTATTATATTAACTACAAAGGTATTTTTTTTTCATTTATAAATACATATAACCAAAATGTGAGAGATAAGAAGGAACCAATTAAATTAACAAAGGAATTGTCTCACATACATAATTATATGTTGAATCATTTAGCTTCTTAAAAGGTTGAAAAAAAAGCTAAATTAATTCTTATCTTGATTCATTATTTCTATAGCTACTTAGCTAGTAATTAAATTATCAAACACGTGAAACTAGTAAGCTGATCCCAAAATCAAGAGGATAACCCAATTTGCTAGACAAATCTTCAACAAATAATAACATAGAAAAAACAATATTTCTCTTCTTAAGTCTTTGTTCTTGATGAAGGACAGGAATAACTTGATCCCTACAAACAGGGCACGTAGAATGAGACTTAAACCATGCATCTATGCACTCAACATGGTAGCAATGCTTACATTTAGGCAGTACCCGTATTCGGTCGCCTCGAACCACTCCATCGAGGCACACCAAACAAAATGGACCATCTGTGCTCGGGTTGCCTCGATACGTCGTGGCGGGGAGGCGGCCCTCTTGCCAAAACAACCTCTTCAACAATGGGAAAATGACGACGATGGAGATGATGAAAATGACCGATTTGCCCATAAACTCAAGAAAGATATCCATGGGGGATAATGTTTAGCCGCCTTCAAATTATGCTAGGCTTTGCTTTATTACAATTATTTGATGGGTGTGCGTAAACATACTTATATGGAGAAAAAGAGAGAGAAAAAAGATTGCGCATGTTTTGAAGGAAAGGTTATTGGTTATTTGATATGCCAAGTCAAAGATATAGGTAAACTGCTCCAATGTAAGACAGAAAATTAAAGTTTTGTAAATAGTATAAGTAGTACAAATGTCTTTACTGTAGAAAAACAACAATGATGTAGGCGTGATTTGATCTTAAGTTTTGACTATTGCAAAGTAGTTTTTGATATTTTAATCAACTAAGCTAGGAGTAATTGATATAGACGCAAAAGTATTGTAATATGTTAGCGTTGGTGTAAAAAGATGGATTTTGGATGGGTTTAATTTCAATCATGCACAAGTTTTGTTGTTGGCGCTCTGATAATTTAATAAAAATGAGATGGCTTCTTGGTAAAACTAAATAAATAAAAATTAGAAGTAATGCATGTGTAGGTGAATGGATAAATAACGTGTATTATTAGGATCATGCAACTTCAAAAATTAAACTAACACGTTAAGCTGATGGAAAGATAGACAAAGAATATGGATGAGGTTTATTGCCATTTATATAATCTTGGTTGTTGTGATCTAGTTAATTATATACAAAATTACAAAATAATACAAGTTGTTGATTTCGTAAATGTGGTGTGAAGGATGAGCTTCAGAAAAGTTATACATAGCTTACAAGTCTCTAGAAACTTGTAGTGGCTTTTGCTTCAATTCTTGCATTGCTTCCTCATCATGAATCATGAAAAAAGAATAATCACGAATGATGATGTATAACAAATGTATTTACAGTACACTTCAATATGATGGTCATGGTTAATTCATCTCATTTTTCCATACGGGAGATCGGATAATGCTCAATTATTTTTCGACAAAATAAATTTTAAGATCGTGTAAATTATTTTAAGTTTTTATACAAGTGCTACATATTGTATAATATAAGAAGGGTTACCAGGTATGAATTATTAACTTATTATAGTATTGTTGTACTACATACGCATTAATGTTTGGTTAACTAAAAAAGAATTGCACAATATTGACATAGTACTTGCAATAGAAAGTTTCATGTGTTTTATATGGCCTTGAAGTGTTATGACTAGGGGTGGTTATTGGGCGGGTCGGTTACGGGTTAAGATGAATATTTAACGGGTCAGGGTCGGGTCAGGTCAAGGTAAAAGTGAAACGGGCCATTAACTTCTACTTTTGGCTATCAGAGTCACTACTAGAAAACAAGCCATTTTCGACGGAATTTTTCCGTCGGAAACACCCTAAATTCCGTCGGAAAACACTGTTCCGGCGGAATTTCCGTCGGAACACCCTTTGTAGGTAAAATGGCCAATTCCGTCGGAAAACACTGTTCCGACGGAATTAACTCATCGGAAAAAGTATTCCGGCCACCGGAAAGTCCGTCGGAAAATTCCGACGGGATACAAATCCGTCGGAATCTCCTGCAAAAAAAACAAAAAAAAACACGGCGCGCCACTACCGGCACGGCGTGTCACCACCTCAGACCACCAGCCACCACTACATCAGACCCACCCTAACCCATGCATAACCACCCACCCTAACCCAGACCCACCCTTACCACCCCACGCATAACCACCCACCCTAACCTAGACCCACCCTAACCACCCCATCCTTAACCCAAACCCACCCTAACCCAGACCCACCCTAACCACCCCACCCCTTTACCCAGACCCACCCCACCCTTTACCCAGACCCACCCACACCCAGCCCCATCCAGCCCTGCCCAGACCACCCACACCTGCCAGAAAACCCACCACCATCCCCACCCTGACCACCGTACTTCACCCCCCCTTAACCCTAACCCGCCCACCATCACACCCAGCCAAACCACCGAAGAATTCAGAAAACGCAATAAAAAAAATTAAATATATAAATAAAAAAAAAACAGATCTAACCCATAAATCAAACAAAAACAGATCTATTACACAAATTGAATAATACAAAGTAGGAAAATCAAAATCCGAAAAAAAAAACGAAAAACCACAAACTAATTCTACGAATCTAAAACCAAAATCAGAAAAATAAAAACATATTAAAAAAAAAAACTTCAAATTTGTTGCGGTTGTTGCGTCGTTGTTGTTTGTTGATGTTGGTGGTTGACGTTATTGTTGGTGCTGATGTTGCGGCGGCTGACGTTGGTGGTTGCGGTGGTTGATGTT